ATGAAAGACCAGCATGAATGTGATGCCCTCTTTTAAACTCTGAGCTATGCGWAAGTCACAGAAACGACTTTTCTAAACTTCAGCTCTCATTTCATATATTTCTTCATGTTGGCTACAGAAAAAGGATGTGGCTTTGAAAGAGGAATACAGGCGAGTTTTCTCTTGGCTTGTTTGTTGCGCAGCCATCCAAAGAAGGCCCTTGAGGAGTCAGAGTAAAACAAAACAAACAAAAAAAAAAAACCCAAAAGAGCTCAAATGAAAAACATCAAACACGTTCATGTGGGATAGTTGGCAGGTGGATAACTACAACAAGGGAAGTGAGATCATTACAATTTTATACCCTTTATTTATTTATTTATTTAGATGAAACTGGCTTTCAGTAAGATGGCTGTGTGAAGTTTTGAAGCTGCTGCGAACAGACTAACTTGCATTTTAAAACATCAAACTGCACACAGAAAAATAGCTGTAGACTCTCTGCTGTTCATTCATTTCAATAAGCAAAGAGCAAAATGTGTTTTTCCATATCTGTGTTTATACAAGAAACACGTTTTGTTCTGTTAAAGTATTCAGCATTGAGGTTTTAGTGATTTGCTGATAAGCTGCCATGTCTATTCAGCTGCTTTGACAGTTTTAATCCCTCCTCATGTTTTGCCCAGCTTTGAGCAGCACAAGAATTAGATWACTGAAGTAAAAGTGCAGTTATTGACTTCTAGTTCTGTGGGGGAAAAAATAAGTACACGACTGTAATGAAGAAAATCCTGTGTCAGTGAGCAGAGAGTTAAATCCTCTTYGAGGCACTTGGGAAGGCATCCAGCTCTGCACAGGACCGTGGCTCCAGCCTGTTTAATTAGAGTCAATTCCCCCTGGAATATTTAGGCTGATGGTTCTGCAGCTTGGCCTGGCTCGGGTCTGTTTTCAGACTGCAGACCTGCTCATCCAGACACACGGGCCTGAGGAGCCCTGAGAAGGAACAAAACCCCTGAAACTAAAGGGCTTCAGTTTAGTTGCTCCTCTCACGGCGCGATGTGATGGACCCACAGCTCAATTAGTCCTCATAGAGGATAATATTTTAATGTTTTCTGATGCTATTAGTTTATTGGATTTTTTTTTCATTCGTTTATTTATTCTTAATATATAGCAGATTAAAGGTCCAGTAMAACTTGAAAACATGCACATCCCCATCAACAAGAGCTCTGAGCCAAGATCATGTTTTGGTGCTGAAGCTGTTTGGGTCAGATCTTAAAAAATAACATTTTTTCACACAATTTTATCAATATTCATTTCCACCAATCAATTCTTGTTTTGCCAAAGAGCTTCAGCTACTACGGCGCCAAATTGTAGCTTATTATCTTAAAAACTGACTGCGTTGTAGCTATTTATGTGCTGGCAAATGTTGACTGATTAACAAATTGGCTCCAAAAGTTTGTTGTAGAAAAGTTCACTTGTAGATCTACATCTGTTGATTCGTTTCTGAAAGTTTCTTTAAAAGCCTTTCAGTGGTTGACRAGATATTTTGCTAACAGACAAAGGAAAAGTTGACTGTAATATCTAATAGGAAGGTTTTAAAAACAAACCTCTTGTAATTAATTAATTAATTCTCACAGTACATGTTGAGGTTGATTTGTGACTACYGCCATACCTAATCTTATTTTATAATTTGTGAACTGGATGAAATTATGCCCATTTTTGTGTTTCCTAAGTTTAGCTGGCTGTGGCAAACACATTCAATCAGACTGACTCCAGATGCTAATGAGCTGCAGAGATCCGTCCAGTGAATAATTTCTGAAAGTTTCTTTAAAATCCGTCCTGTAGTTCATGAGATATTTTGCTAACAGATGTATAAATGCAAATTTGCACAAACATTTTGGAGGCAGGTGACAAATACTCATATCAGCAATAAGGTTATTAAATTAACTGTATCTTGTTTATACTGTATGTTTCTATTATTTTTCTGATTAAAAGTATTCTTTAACTTGAGTAAACTTCACGAAACACTCGGACAACTAAGTCAAAATGTTGGAAGTCCCGTTGTCATTCTGCAGACCTGTTTGGATCTTCGTCAGCTTTAAATGCAGACTTTGTGGCTTCCTGACTAAAACTTTTAGTCAATGATCATTAAATATTAAGAAGCCATTTGGCAGACGAACTCCTCTTTAGCTTTCAGGCCTCAGGTTTTCTTTTYCCCTTCGCTCTTTGAAGAAGCTGTTTTTGTGTGTTTTTAATTCCCGTGACATTTAAAGTGGTGTTTTAGCTGCCGTGGTGCCTGATCACTTCCTGGTTCCTGCTGGTACAAAATTATGTCCAAGAAAACCCTCGAACTGAAGCTTGAGGTTTACAGCATTTTTTTTTTGACAAATGGAGACAAAAATAAGGATTTATACAAATTCCTGGGCAAACWATCAAAGAATTCAAGTGTGCCAGTGTTTTTTATTTATTATTACTGGAGTCATCTTTTTATTGAGCAACTAAACTTATCGAATGCTGGAAACAAAAGAAAAAAAATATTTTAATTAAATGCAATACAAGAACAGGAAATAATGCATGCTTTCATTTGAATCTTTAATTATAAACAAATATGGTGAAAATTGAATATTTTCTGCTTGTTTTTACTTCAGTGTTTTAAAACTTTGCTTAAATTTTCACTGTTTGGGACTCCCATTTAGATGAAATGTGAAAACAATGAAAGTAGGAAAGATAAAACAAGAGTCACAACTCAAACTTTTTATTTTATCTAGAAAAGTGAGTGTCCAACTAAAAAAATAAATCTCTAAAAAAATCTCCATCTCTGTTTACACTTTGTGCCAAAAACCTGATGAAACTGCCAGGTGCCAGGAGTTTCTCTTTCATGTACTGTATATTAAAACAATGTTTATTCTGAAAGGAAATACTGGTATTCAAAGCAATAAATAAAAGAATAAATCTCACATCCAGGCATGCRTTAAGACTATAGACAGCAGCGTCAGCAGTTATTGACTGAGGCAAAATGCATAAAATGTGTCAGATTTCCATTAGTTTTAATATTTCAGCTGTAGCGGATGGCAGCACTGAACACTGAGCTTACTAAAGTGAAATCTGCTTTTATTTACTTCCCAGATTTGGTATTGATAGGTTTAATTAACTCTGCAGGTTTTAATTATTCTTTAAAGGGGGGGGG